TTTTATATATACTAGAACAGAGATATTTCTTCTACTCTGTCTGAACTTAATTGAATTAAGTTATACAGACTCTTTTCTCAGTTGAATAGAATTATACTCTTTCAATTCATTTTTAAGAAGTAGCATTTCTTTCTCACAGTCAAAGATTTCAACTGAAATATTATAAAGAATGAATTTATCTCACTTTTCATCTCTCTCAGATAGAATTATTGTGTTTAACAGAGATTCTACTGCTGACTTTCAGAGATTCTCATTCTGAATAAGGAATTCTGCACTGAATTCAGACATTGTGATCAGAATGATGAAGTTTTCAAAGAAAAATGACTCAATTGAAGCTATAACTGATTTTTGAACTTCAATATCAGTTATTAACTGAGAAAAGAACTGCTGATTGATTTCATTTCTAATTCTGAAAATAAGGTTTGAGTTTAGCTTATTTCTCTGCAATATATTCTGATTTGAGACTTTGAGAATAAGTCTTCTATTTCTGAAGATTTGAAGATTTTTCTCTTTTTATATTTTTTTCTTTACTCTTCTATCAATAGAAGTATGAGCAGTATTCTTCTCAGTTTTCTCAGAATTTTGAGCAGATTTTGAGATAGCAGATTTAGAGATAGTAGATTTAGAGATAGCAGATTCAGCTGCTTGAGCATATGTTTTCTTCTGATTTAAAGAAGAAGAAGAAGAAGAAGTAGAAAAGAAAGAAGAGTAAACTGAAGAGTCAGTGATTGTATTAGAAATTTTCAAAGTTTTTTGAACTGTGTTTGAAATTTCAAGTTTGAACTTGATCACTTTCTGTAGTTATCTAGTCTGAGTATGAAGAATTAACAGAACTTCTTTATTCATCTCACTCAGATACTGCTTTTCAAGAATTTTACTTACTTTTTCAAGTTTCTGTATTTTAAAAACTTATTATTTCTCTATTTCTTCTTTCTTTCTTCTCTTCAGAATTTCAATCTCAGAAATAGTATTTGAGAAAGTATTCTTTTTCACATCAACTGAGTGTACTTTTAAACTCATTATTCTTACTCAATGAAAAGTTGATCAGACTAATTCAATTGAGATATTTATTAAACTCTTTTAAATTGAAAAGTTAATCAGACTATTTCAAAAGAAGAATAACAGACTTTTATATATAAAATACCTGATTTTTTTCACACTAGTTCAGTAACTAGATTAGATTTTTGAAGAGAATCTAATAAACTAAAATTGATTTTTAAGATAAATCAGTAAAATCTTTATAATCTCTTTCTTGAGATACAGTGAGGAAAAGTATAATATTAATTAATAATAAATTAGATAATATAACAGTTTTTGAGAGAAAAACTGATAAAAAATAAATCAATTTTTTACAGAGAAATTGATTAAAACTATTCAATTTTATTCTAAATTATTCAATTCTTCTCACACAACAAGTATACAACTCAAATCAGTTAATAAAGAGTGTAAAAAAGAATTAAGTATTAATGAAAACTCTTCAGTCACTGAAAAAGTAATTCTTACTTAAAAGAATATGAAATTATAATAGAAAATAACTCTGTTTTTAATTCTTTGTAAGAATATTATATAAAATTCAGAGAAAAACACCTTATTTTTTTAAGAGAAGTAAAAAACTATTTCTAAGATCTTTTTTTTTTTGTATTAACTACTGCAGAAGAATGAGATAGAAACTGCTAAGATATATACTACTATATATTCTCTATCAAGACTTTCTCTCTTCAGAGTCTTGATATTATAGAGAATATAAGTCTGTTTCTATATAATAATATACATATTATCAGTGAGATGTAGAGAAACTGATTATTTATATCTCAAAATAGAAGACTTTGTTAATAATTATATTAATATAGAGTTAATTCTTAAATTCAATAGAAATCTAGTATTGCTGTTCTTAATCTCTTACAGAATCTATTAAATATTGAGATATTAAAACTAGATTTAATATATCTCACTGTGCAGGGATCAAAGGCTCAGTCAGACCTTGAGATATACTGATTTTATAGTTGTCATGTCTGCTGATTATGTATCAAGTACAGTTGCTGAGATATCTTTTTGTACTTTTCTATCAGAAATGAGCCAGATTGAGAGAGGTGATATGAGGATGAGACTTGACATTGATGTCTAGATACACTGAAGACAGACTGTGAAGATTGCACTTCAGAAGTGACTGTTGATTATATACTTGATATTATCACTGAGATATCTTTTTGTATTTTTCTGCTGAGAATGGGCCAGATTGGGAAGGGCGGTACAAGGGTGAGACTTGGCATTGGTGTTTTGAAATATCAAAGATGGACAGGGTTTTCACAGAGATCACTTCTCAGATATCTCCACAACTACTGATTGGGGATCTTTCAAAATTGAGAAGATTGGTGCATATGGCTAGGTCTCTTCACCTTACAATTTGTATGGCAATTTGGCCCGGGGTTGTGGTGTGATAGGGGAGAATGAGGGATAATCCCACGCAGGAGTTCTGAACGATGTCTGGTTCATGTTTGGCTGGATAACTCCACCACCACACGGAGTATGCGGTCAGTGATGGGGTCAAAATGCTTGTATAATTGAGGGCTTTTCAATGGATCTATCGGCGGGTTCTTATTCGAAAAATCGAGCGAGTTCGTGGTGAAGCGGTTGAATAACTACAGAAAGTGATTAAGTTAAAGCTTAGAATTTTAAATATAGTTTAAAAAAATATTGAAAATTTCTAGTATAATTACTGACTCTTATTCATCTTTTTCTTTCTTAAATCAGGAAAAAAAAAAATATATACTTAAGCAGTATAATCTACTATTTTTAAATCTACTATTTTAAAATCTATTTAAAACTCTGAAAGTACTCAGAGAAAAAATACTCATACTTCTCTTTATAAAAAAGAAGAGAAGAAAATATAAAAAGAGAAAAATATTCAAATCTTCAGAAATAGAAGACTTATTTTTAAAATCTTAAATAGAGATATTCTACAGAAGAATAAGCTGCACTCAAATCTTATTTTTAAAATTAGAAATAAAATTAATCAGCAGTTCTTTTCTCAGTTAATATATAATATTAAAGTTTAAAAATCAGTTATAACTTTAATTAAGTTATCTTTCTTTAGAAATTTTATTATTCTAACTATAATATCTGAATTTAGTGCAGACTTTCTTATTAAGAATAAGAATATCTGAAAATTAATAATAGAATCTCTATTAAATATAATAATTCTATCTGAGAGAGATGAAAAATGAGATAAATTTATTTTTTATAATATTTCAGTTGAAATTTTTAACTGTAAGAAAGAAATACTACTTCTTAAAAATAAGTTAGAAGAATATAACTCTATTTAACTGAGAAAGAAGTCTGTATAGCTGAATTTAATTAAATTTAGATAAATTAGAAGAAATATCTTTATTCTAGTTTATATAAAAATACTTAAATAATTAAAGATCTCTGAAGTAAGAGTAATAGATTTAAAAATAAGAGTTTATAAATACAAAGACTTAAGAGTGAATCTCAAAGTATAAACACAGTATTTAAACTGTTAAAGATATAAATATGTGGCGGGCTGCATCTGATTAATTATATAGACTATTTCATTACACTTCATAGATTCTTTCATTTCCGATCACTGATTCTCAGCCGCTACAAACACGTGTAATATATGCTCTGATTCTCAGTCATTTTCAATTGCTGATTCTCAGCCGCTATAAACGCGCGTATATTCTTTCATCTTAAAGCTTCACTGTGTACATTATCACATACATGTATAAATATTTGTAACATGGCGGAACCGAAGCAGTGACTAGTCAGCAGTGTCACATAGAAGTAGTTGTTTAAGAAGCTGTATAAGTGAGCTTGACTATCTTACTTGAATAGTGAGCTTGTAGACTACAGGGTTATTACAAGAATATCACAGATATAATACTTAGTATACTAAGAAGATTGTATAAGACACATAGTAACTCTTATATATATTTCAGTAGAAGAAAAATGAATCACTGACTTCTTTAATAAGAAGTCAGCATCTAGCTATTCTATATAGACAATGAGCAGATACTCTTCTCTCATTTCATAAGTGAGAATAGCTAGAGTGATATCTTAGCAGTATCTTATTATCAAGAAAGAGTAATCTGCTGATCTTATATAGAAGTAAGATTCTCATATTTATCAATCAGATCTTTCTATAATATATTCAAATAATGTCATAGAGTGATTGAAAACTGATTCAGATAGAATGAAATTATTCATATGAAAGTGATAAGTTATGTGAAACTGTAACAGAGTCTTGATATAACTGAGAGCATGATAATACTCTTCTCTTTAAGAGTATAGTCTTAATACTCTTAAGATTACTAGATTAGAAATTATCTTTGTTATATAGCAATGATTACTAATCAATTGACAGTGTATATACTGTATAAAGAAATAGATGAGTTATTCTGCTGACTGTGTAAGTCTTTCTTTTCTTATCTTCATTCAAATCAAACATATAATAAGTGAGTTTCTTATATATCAATTTGAAATGTAAAAAACATAGTTAACAAGTGACTTACAGATCTTTCAATATATTCTATTCTATATATAAAATTCTCTGCAAAAGTGATGTATTTTAGAGACAAAGCTAACAGTAGTGATAGGATTTTTTCAAAAAGATTCTCTCTCTCTATAACACATTTTTCTCTCCCTCTTCTCATCTGTAATAGTGAGTGTATGAGAGTATCATTCTTGAAGAACAGTAGAGGACTTATTCTGATGTTTTCTAGTGAGTAAATGTCTTCATGATGCAGCAGCGGCCTCTGTGGCTGTCAAGAAAGCCAGGTTGAAGGCAGAGACAGTGGTGTCAATGAGCTATGAAAGCATCACTCTCATTGTCACATCTCCTTCTTCTCCTGCTTCTTTTACAGCCATGGTGGTAGTCACTGTGCCTTGCAGTGAGATGTCATCCCTTCTGCCAGTCAGTTCATCTGTGTCTGGTTCATTCCCTGCCCCCCCCACCGCCATTACAACGCCGCCCCCCCCCTCAGCCAATACAGTGGTGTATGACCCTGTGTGGTCATTCAGAGAGGAACTCAGAGAGAGCTTGATTTCAGAGACAGTGACTCTGAGAAGCTCAATTCATAGTTCCTCTCCTGTGGCATGCCTGAGCCCTGCTCAGAATACTGCTGAGTTGAGTTCACAGAGTTCTGCAGTTTCTTCATCTTCTCTCTGTGAGAAGGCTCTGATGCAGCCTCTGATCAGTATCACTACTTGTCTGCACTGCATTAAGCAGCTGAAGAAGAGAGGGATTCTATGTACTCACTTCTTCTCTCACTTCTGTTATTTTCATTGTATCTGTAACAATGACTTCTATCTCTCTGTAAGTATTATCTACTCTACAAGAAGGTATTGTGTCAGCTCTGATAAGAAGCTCAGATGCTCAAGCAGTACAGAGCAAGAATCTCAGAGCTTTAAGTATTGACAGATTTCATCAAGACTGAAGAGATCTCTCTTACTCATCTATAAAAGAAGATGAAAGTGTGAGTCTCTGAGATGAAAAAACATCTCAGAATGACTGATCTCAAGAAGAGATCAGCTGATACTGCTGTTAAAAGTGTCACAGAGATTAATCACTGATTAAAGAGAATCTCACTTCAGTTGAAGTAGATGACTGAGATACTTTATAAGTTAATAAGTTGATATTTTATGTATTTCTTATACTCTTCTACAGTGTCATAGCACTAACTTCTCAGTAAACAAAGATACTGATATTGAAGACTTCAACAGTGAAGAATAAGTTTGATAAGAATATAATTATTAATAAGTAGATTCTGAAATTCCCTCTTTTTACTTTTTCAGTGAGCTACAGTCTCACTAGAATAGCAGTGATCTGTGAGTTAATAATATTAATCTTTTTTATTAATTTTAAATATCTCTTTTCTTTAACTGCTTCAGAAATTTTACACTTATATAGTCTTATTAAACTTTTAAAAAATTCTTTGAGAGAAAATAGAAGAAGAGTACTACAGAGTCTATAAGATATCAACTTATTACTGTAAGATTATCTTTAAAAAACTCTTTAAAAAAAATGAGAAGTCTCAAGTAGTATTTCTTATTCAATATCTCTGATATATAACAGAACAGTCTCTACTAGCTGTCTCATAGCTTATAATCTCTTTCTCAGTATTTTTCAAATACTCAAGCAGTTCTTATAAATTCTCTGATAATAAATAATCTTCTTATTTAATAAGATATTAAAGCTTACTGTAATATATTCACTTATTTAATATTTTCTTTATAAGATATTCAGTATCACTCTCAATCTTGATATTATTCAGCTGAGATGACTCTATCTCAGAACATTGCTTATAGAGCTTTAAATAGAAAATATGAAAAACAGAATGAATTAATTTCAATTCTATAAGTAATTTCAACTTATATATCTACTTATTTATCACTCTTATTACTGAGAAAGATTCTAGTCATCACTCACTAAGCTTCTTATATAGTCTTATTATCTTGATATTCTTTATTAAAAGTAGTACTTGATTCTCTATCAAGAACTTCATTGAAAGATGTTTTCAATTATAGTATTTCATCTACTGCTTCTGAGTGCAGTGAATACTTTTTATCATCTTCTTATAAATTTTATTTAAAAGTTTCAATCTCACTTTTACTTCTGATACTGAGAGATACTCTGTTCTCTATATCTATCTAATATTCTGACTGTCTATTTCTCTCTTTGAAATATTATCTGCAATGTCACTGAGTAATGAAGAATTATATTTATAATAAGTATAGAAAGAAGATATCTTTAAGATTATATTCTTTACATTATTATATATAAATTCAGTGATTAGAAGATGTTTAAGTCAATTATTCTGATGATATGAACAGAACACTTGAAGATACTGTTCTAGTGTCTGATTCTGATATTTAGTCTGGTCATTGATCTGCAGATGAAATGCAGTACTGAGAAGATATCTTATTATAAGATGATAGTAAAAAGCTGATCAGTATTTACTAGTAAAGAGAGATTCTTAATCTGTTATTAACAATTTCAGAGTACTGTGATTATAAATAATAATATCTAAAAACAGATCAGTTAATTCAGAGGCTTTAATCTTTTTATAAGTAGAAATATATCTAATTATCTTTATAAAGTAGTTAACAATGATTAAAATTAAGTTATATTCTTTGACTCTTGTCAACTTCAGCAGATCAACTATGAAATTCATCAATAGATTCTGTCATAAGCTCTTTGAAACAGATAGTGATATCAACTCACTGTATTACTTATATCACAGAATCTTTATTCTTTGATAAATATTATAAGTTTTAATATACTCTTTAACATCTGCTCAGAGCTTGTTTTAAATATATTTATATTTTAGAAGCTTCTCAGTCTTCTCTAATCTGAAGTGCTCTGCATGAGAATCATTATAATGAATTCTCAATAACTTCTAGCACACTACTCTGCTACAAGAAATGAAGACTGAATTATTCAGCAGTAGAAGTTTATATTCTTCTAGTTATCAGTAACTTGATTTCTTAGCAGTATTATCTCACTCAGAGTCTGTCTCTTTCAAGTTCAAACCAGATTCTTTCTTCTTCAACTTCTGAATTTAAGCTACAGTAGAGATATCTCTCTTCTGTAACTTATCAATGAATTTTAAAAGTAGTCAGATTGAAAGATTATAGATCATTTCATTCTTTACTAATTCAATAATTGTAAGATATAATATAAGAAGCTCATGATCTTCAGTATTAGTTCTCTACAGAGATCTGAGTTCTCTTTCATCTTCTATACTGAGTCACACAGCTGTCTCTTCAGCACTGTTTCTGAGCTTTAGAGAATCTCAACTCTCTGCAGTCAGCTTCTTCTGCAGTGATAACAGAGATTCTTTTATAGAATTCTTCTCTGCATTAACAATATTATAATCAGGTTATTTAGACAGTATATCAGCAGAGTTAAGCTGATCTGAACAGTATTAGATATAGAAATTATACTCTGAAAGCAGCTTCACTCACCTGGCTTGACATTCTGTCAAGCTCTTTGTTATTAAGAAATAACACAGATTTATATAATTAGTGAGAACTTACACTGAGTACTTACTACTCTGAAGATAATATCATCAGATTTTAAAGAATTCAATAATTACTAACATCTTCTAATCATGAGTATTATACCTTCTCTATATAAGTGATAACTTCTTAGAGAAGAAGGTCACTGATCTTTATTTACAGCATCTTATAGACTCTGTAAAAAAGTCTTCTCTCACAGACAATTCATTATCTGTTTTTTCAGAGATGATTATTCTCTGATTCTTTCAATGTTGAAAGGCCTTCAGTATTAACTGTGAAAAGATTTCACAGATTTCATTTCTGAATGCATCAGTCTCACACTTATTATTATTATTATTATTCTTCAATTATAGATGTATGCAGTCAGAGACTATAACATCTACCTGAGAACTTTAGTTCTCAGGGTTTTTTCTATGTCTGTAAAGTTAACTATTGTACATTCATCAATTTCAGATATGCAAAATCAGAAAATTCCAGCTCAGAATACAAAAACTGTTTATAAATTGCAGTGTTTTAACATCTTTTGATACTTTGAAACCATTTGACAATATCATGATAAAAGAAAAGAGAGAAAGAACACAGTCTCAAAGATAGACACATTAAATAGATAGATAGAAAGAAATTGAAAGAAAAAGATACAGAAAAAGATAAAGTAAAGAGAGACTATAATAAAACAAATTATTAAAAGAGAGTGTATAGCTGTTTTAACAGACTATATCTGATTGATTTTCTCCTCTTCATATTCAGATAATTCTGAATTTAGCCATTTTCTTGTAGCTGCTTGAGTTTCTGATAGAAAGTCTATTAAGTATTTAATTCCTGTCTCAGTTGAGAATAAGAATCTCATATTTAATTGATTTAGATTATACTTCTCTTTCAATCTGGCTCTGAGACTATTGTATAATGTACAGTGCATTATAATATACTCAGGATTCTTATTTGCATGACAGAATGAGCATTCTATTGAGTCAAATCTATCATCAAATCTTTGTATATAAGATTTGAAATAGTCATGTCCTAGTTTCAGCTGTATTATAGATGAGAATATTTTCTTTTTACATTTAATTAAACAAGATTTTCACTTGGGTTTTATTTTAAATCTTGAATAATGTATACTCTTCTTTTGTTTCTGCCAGCTTTCATTTCACTTGTCTAAACAAGATTCTTTTATTTTTCTCTTTATAAAAGATCAGAACATAATTTTTTGAATAGATCTGCTTAATTCTGCACTCTTTTTTACAGCTGAATCAGCCAATTCATTATCATGAATATTCATATGAGCAGGAACTCAGTGTAGATGAATTCTCAGCTTTGATATTCTTCTCTTTTGAATTTTTAAAATAGAGTTTAAGATCAGTTCAAGATTCATTTGATCATTATGAATCTGACTATTTCTAAGTCTTTTTAAAGCAGCTTGACTATCAGAGAATATTCATGTCTCTTTTAAATAATTTTCTCTTTTATGAGATTTTATTTCAATGAGTTTGAAAGCTTTTACTATTACAAATAGTTCAGCATCAAAGACTTTACATTCAGAGTCTAGATTTCAGAAATCTGAGATAAAATTAATATTATCTTCAGTATAAGCAATGTCTGTGTCTAATCTATTCAAGTTCTCATTTTTTAAGTCATCTGAATAAATTAGAATAGAGTCTTTTATATTGATTGTAGAAATTCTCTTCAAATGCTGTTCATATTCTTTCTCTTTTAATAGTTCACTTATTTGTAAGTCTATAAGAGATTCAAGCTTTTTTCTTCAGAGAGATAACTTCTCATGATCAATTTTTTCAATATTTAAAGAAGAAAATTGATTTTTAATCAGAGAGCATAGTCTGTACAGTTGAGAAGGCATTTTCTTTGAAGAATTATTTTCATTTCAATCAAGAAATCTATTCCAATTCAGTTCATTTTCAGAGTTAATTGATGAAAATGAAGAAGAGACTCTTTCTCTGATTATATAATTTAAGCTCATCTTTACAACTCTCAGAGCATAGTTCATACAGGCCTTTTCAAATCTAATAGCAGAAGGAGGAATTGAAGCTTCAATTTCCATTGCTTTAATAGAAGATGATTTAAATGCTTTCAGAATTCTTCTCAAGGCTCTGTTTTACAGACTTTGAAAGAGTTCAGTGAAATTCTCTTGATTATTTCATCAAACTTGAACTTCATAATCAGCTACTGATGTAATACAGGCTATATATAACTGTCTCATAGTCTGGAAGAATAGACCTCTCTCTGTATTTGATAGTCTGATTATGTTGTTCAATAGTCTTTCTGCCTTGACAGTTCTTTGTTGAATATGATATTTAAAGTTCAACTTGAAGTTTAATCATACTTCTAATCATTTGATATTTACACTGAGTTTAATCTCACTATTTAAAAGAGTTAGAGATAGTTCTTTCTCATTGAATCTAGAAAAGAAATGAATTAACTCAGTTTTATCTATATTAAATTAAATTTGATTGATATCTACTCTAACAAAGATTTTCTTTACAGCTTCTTCAATTACTTTTAAATTCTCTTTGATAGTTTTTGAGCTGTAGACTAGACCAATATCATTTATATAACTCAGAGATCACACTATTCTCATATTTCTATTTTTGAATAGATATGCAGTGTATATTATAAATAAAATAAGTGAGATTGAAGATCTCTGTAATACTTCTATTTTTATCTCAGTCTTATCTTATTTCATTCTATCAAAGAAGAGTTATATAATTCTTTTAGATATAAAATAGTTAACTTATTTTATTAGAGAAAGTGACAGTTTTAATATCTTCAATATCTGAATTAACTTTGATTTTGAAACATGATCAAATGCTTCTTTTATATCAATAAAAACTGCAGTTGAGATCAGACTCTCATGCTTTGCTATTTAAATATTATGAATAACTGAGAGAACAGTGTTAATTACAGAACACTGTTTTCTATCTCTCATTTATTCACTGAATAAAAGAGAATCATCTATAGAGCTTATAAAAGATAGTTAAGTAACTATTATCTTTTCTAAAACCTTTCCTAGACAGTTCAATAGAGATATTACTCTATATAACTTAGAAATTGAAGTTTTTCTATTAGATTTTATAAGAATCACTTTAGTGACTTCTCTTCAGCATTCAGAATGATATTCATTTTTCAAGAGATTGAAAAAGAGCTCAAAATATTCATTCTTTAAGTAGGAATATATATTTTGAATAATTAAGTAATTAATTGAATCAGGATCTGCAGCAGTTTTAACAGAACTTGAGAAGATAGCTGACTCTAATTCATCTTATGTAAGATCAGGTCATTCTCAGTCATTTTCATCAATGTAGTTGAGAAGTGATATATTCTCTTCCTCTGAATCTGAATCTGAATCTGGTGAGTTCTGAAAGAGAATTCTCATGAAAGCTTGACATTTTTTCTCAAAAGAGTTTGCTGTATATAATTCATTCTGAAACTCATATTCTAGAGCTGGAAGTTTTACTACACTTCTTGTTTTAATATAGTTAAAAGCTTTAAAAACTTCCTTTTCTTATACTTCTTCAAGAAATTTATTCCAGCAGTCTGTTTTAACTCTTTTAATATCTGAAAAATATTTATTTCTGACAGCTTTGAACTCTTCATCAGATATTACATCATTCTTTCAATCTCTTCTAGCAGTAGCTAATTCTTTTCTTTTAGATAAGATATTCTCATTTCATTAAGATTTTGAATACTCAGAAGATTTTCTTTTTGAAATATTATCTCTAACATCTGTTAGAATAATAGATATAATAAGCTTCACTCTATTCTCAAGCATTTCATTTGAGATATCTTGATCAGAATTTCAATATAGCTTATTCTGTCTTTCAGATTTTAACAGTTTTATACTTTCTTCAACTGCTTTTCAATCAGCTTTTTCAAAGTTATACTGATTAGAGAGAAGAGGATTTTCACTCATTTATTTTTCACTCAGTTCAATATCAAATTGAATAATCTCATGATCTGATTCTGATGTGTCATTTGAAGTAATAAATCAGTTTACAAGTCTTCTTTTCATTAGATTTTATGATATAAAAGTTAGATCTATAATAGACTTCTGTTTCATGTCTTTTCTAAAGAATGTTTGTTGATCAGACTTATTAACCAAATCTATTGAATGCTCAAAGGTTCATTCAACCAGATTATCAGCTCTCACTGCTCTCTTACATTCTGAATTTCATCAGAGATAATATGCATTGAAATCTCCTGCAATTATAGAGTTTCTTGATAGAGTTATGTTCAGAAATCCTCTATCAATTATTCAGATATTGTTATTTTTCTTCAATGACTTTTCATTATAGATATTTATAAGCTGTATAGTATCAAACTTATTTTCTTTATCTATAATATCACTCATCAGAATATCAGAGTCAGACATGATATTAAATCTTAGATTAAATTAATATCTTGATCTCTTTCTTTCATAGATCACTACTCTTGACTTTATCTCAGAGTTTTGAGATAAAAAGCAGTAGTAGCTTGAATGAGAAATGATATATTTTTGCTCAGCATCAAAATTCAGCTTCTGAAGTAGTATAAAATTAACTTTTTATTCAAATGTAATTTGAAGACATGAATAAATACAATTTAAGTTTCTATTCACATTATTTTGAATAAATATGATTTTTGAAGAGTTTTTAAACTTTTTTTATTGTTTTTATTGTATATTCATACTAAAAGAGAGTAGAGAAGAATCTAATCACTATTATTAGATAGTAGATTATAACTATTCTGAAAAGTAGAAATCTCAACTGCTTGTATTATATCTAGTTTATTATCAGAGTTATTTCTCAATTCTCTAATCTTAACAGAAGTTTAAGAATTCAAATTCTGTTTACATTTTACTGAAGAATTGAAGTTTGAAGACTTAGATAATTGAGAGTTTCTTCTTCTTAAGCTTGCAGTTATGAGTTTACTGGCTTGACTCTTCTCTTCAGTTCTAGATTGACTTTGAGCTTCATCTTTTCTTCAGTTCTTTTGAGTTCTAGAAGCAAACATACATTCTTTTGAGCTAGAAGCATATTTTTCTTTGCAATTAGAGCACTTAAGCAGAGTATATTAACAAATTTCACCTCTTTTTGAGCATGTTTCACATTTATACTCACTAGTTTTGTGATCTCTGGCACAGAATGCATATTTTGAGTCTCTAAAACATGAGATTACAAAGTGTTCATATCTTTGATAGTTTGAACACTGTGTTTAAGCTTTGAGATTCATTCTTGAGTCTTTGTATTCATGAACTCTCATTTTCAAATCTGCTACTCTTACTTCAGAGATCTTTAACTGTTTAAGTATTTTTATATATACTAGAACAGAGGCATTTCTCCTGCTTTATCTGAACTCAATTGAATTTAATTATACAGGCTTCTTTCTTAGTTGAATGAAGTTGTATTCTTTCAATTCATTTTTAAGAAGTAGTATTTCTTCTTCACAGTCAAAAATTTCAACTGAAATATCATGAAGAATGAATTTATCTCACTTTTCATCTCTTTTAGATAGAATTATTGTGTTTAGTAATGATTCTACTGCTGACTTTCAGAGATTCTTATTCTGAATAAGGAATTCAGCACTGAATTCAGACATTGTAGTCAGAATGATGAAGTTTTCAAAGAATGATGACTCAATTGAAGCTATAACTGATTTTTAAACTTTAATATCAGTCATCAACTGAGAAAAGAACTGCTGATTAATTTCATTTCTGATTTTGAAAATGAGATTTGAGTTTAGCTTGTTTCTTTGCAGAATATTCTGATTTAAGACTTTGAGAATAAGTCTTCTATTTCTGAAGATTTGAAAGTTTTTCTCTTTTTACATTTTCTTTTTCACTTTTCTATGAATAGAGACATGAGCAGTATTCTTCTCAGTTTTCTCAGAATTTTGAGCAGATTTTGAGACAGCAGGTTTAGAGACAGCAGATTCAGCTGCTTAAGCATATATTTTCTTCTAATTCAAAGAAGAAGAAGAAGTAGAAAGAAAGAAAGAAGAAGAGTAAGATGAAGAGTCAGTGATTATACTAGAAATTTTCAAGATTTTTTGAACTGTGTTTGAGATTTCAAGTTTGAACTTGATCATCTTCTATAGTTGTCTAGCCTGAGTATGAAGAATTAATAGAACTTCTTCATTCATCTCACTCAGACACTGCTTTTCAAGAATCTTGCTTACTTTTTCAAGTTTCTGTATTTTAAGAACTTGTTATTTCTCTATTTCTTCTTTCTTTCTTCTCTTCAGAATTTCAATCTCAGAAATAGTATTTGAGAAAGCATCTTTTTCCACATCAACTGAGTGTATTTTTGAACTCATTGTTTTCACTCAATGAAAAGTTGATCAGACTGTTTCAATTGAGATATTTCTAAGTCTGTTTTCAATTGAAAAGTTGATCAGACTGTTTCAAAAGAAGAATAAAAGACTTTTATGTATAAAATACCTGATTTTTTTCATACTAGTTCAGTAACTAGATTAGATTTTTGAAGAGAATCTAATAAACTAAAATTGATTTTTAAGATAAATCAATAAAATCTTTACAATCTCTTTCTTGAGATACAGTGAGAAAAAGTATGATATCAATTGATAATAAATCAGATAATATAACAGTTTTTGAGAGAAAAACTGATAAAAAATAAATCAATTTTTTACAGAGAAATTGATTAAAACTATTCAATTTTATTCTAAATCATTCAATTCTTCTCATATAACAAGTGTGTAACTCAAATCAGTTAATAAAGAGTGTAAAAAAGAATTAAGTATTAATAAAAGCTCTTCAGTCACTGAAAAAGTAATTCTTACTTAAAAGAATATGAAATTATGATAGAAAATAACTCTGTTTTTAATTCTTTGTAAGAATATTATATAAAATTCAGAGAAAAACATCTTACTTTTTCAAGAGAAGTAAAAAACTATTTCTAAGATCTTTTTTTTTTGCATTAACTGCTGCAGAAGAATGAGATAGAAACTGCTAAGATATACACTACTATATACTCTCTATCAAGACTTTCTCTCTTCAGAGTCTTAATATTATAGAGAATATAAGTCTGTTTCTATATAATAATATAAATATTATCAGTGAGATGTAGAGGAACTGGTTATTTATATTTCAAAATAGAAGACTTTGTCAATGATTATATTAATATAGAGTTAATTCTCAAATTCAATAGAAATCTAGTATTGCTGTTCTCAATCTCTTGCAGAATCTATTGAATATTGAGGTATTAAAACTAGATTTAATATATCTCACTATGCAGGGATCAAAGGCTCAGTCAGATCTTGAGATATACTGATTTTATAGTTGTTGATGTGCTGTTGACTTATTATTCACTGATTATGTATTAAATGCTGTTGCTGAGGTATCTTTTTGTATTATTCTGCTGGGAATGGGCCAGATTGAGAGGGGTAGTACAGAGGTGAGACTTGGTGTTAAAGTCTAGATACACTGGCAGCAGACTGTGAAGATTGCACTTCAGAAGAGTCTGTTGATTATGTGCTTGATATTATTGTCAAGATATCTTTTTGTATTTTTCTGCCGGGGATGGGCCAGATTGAGAAGGGCGGTATGAGGGTGAGACTTGGTGTTGATGTTTTGAAACATCAAAGATGGACAGGGTTTTCGCGGAGGTTGCTTCTCAGATATCTCCACAACTACAGGTCAGGGATCTTCCAAAATCGAGAAGATTGGTGCATATGGCTAGGTCACTTCACCTTACAATTTGTATGGCACTCTGGCCCGGGGTTGTGGTGTGGTAGGGGAGAACAGGGGATAATCCCACACAGGAGCTTCGAACAACGTCCAGTTCACATTTGGCTGGATAACTCCATCACCACACGGGGTATGCGGTCGGCGATGGGGTCAAAATGCTCGTATGATCGAGGGCTTTTCGATGGATCTATCGGCGGGTTCTTATTTGAAAAATCGAGCGAGTTCGTGGTGAAGCGGTTGGCTAAAAACTGATCAGTCTCACACTGACTGAGTAAGTTGAGATTAAAATAATTCAGTATTATAGTATCTGTGAAAGCTTATTTCAATTCTACAAACACCTGCATGATATCTTGAGTGAGAATAAACAGTTCTGTTTTTCTGTCTTTCATACTTCTCTTCAATAGATCTGTAAGAGAGACAGTAATCTATGAATATATATAGATGAATTGTCTGTAGAAATTTGTAAATTCTAGAAACATCTATATTTTACAGTATATTCATGATGCTGGCCAGTTCTCAATGATAAAGACTCAGCTTCTATTCATTGAAATGTCATTCATCTCAATAATATAACCTAAGAAATCAATCTTCTGCATGTAGAATGAGCATTTTTCAGTGTTTGTATAGAGTTAATACTGTCTCAAGTGACTCAACACTTCTCAAACATGAATATCATGTTCTTTCTCTGATTTTGAGAAGATTAAAATGTCATTCAGATATACTATGCAGGAGATGTTAACAAGACTCTGCAGCATCTCATTTATATAGACCTGAAAGATAACTGAAGTATTACAAAGATTAAAAGATAAAACAAGATATTCAAAATTGTCATACTTAGTATAAAAAGCTGTTTTTCAAACATCATCTTTATTAACTCTGATTCTATGATAGACATTCTGTATATCAATCTTTGAGAACATCTTTACTTCAGATAATCAATCAATCATCTTATTAATTAACAGTAATAAATAGTGATTCTTAATTATCATCTTATTAAGGCCTCTGTAGTCTACACATAGATGTAGTCTATTATTCTTCTTAAGTATAAAGAGTATAGATGTCTCTGTCAGACTCTTTGATAAATATATTCAGTTCTTTGATTATACTTCTTCAAGATATTTACACAGAATATTCAATTTCTTTATAGATAAGTTATAAAGAGATCTGTACAGCACTGTTACACTGTTTTTAAGATAAATCTTATATTGTATCTTAATATCAGAAAACTTCACTGCTTCTCTTTCTGAAAAGATATTCTTAAAATCTGTAAAAAGATGTTATATATATCTGTCTTCAATAACAGATACTGCTGCTAATCTTGCAGTGAGAGTGATGACTTCTTCATCTGTTCTCAAGTCTCAATCATCTGCTATACAGTATATTAACTCAATCTTTTTCTCAAGATTCTTCTGATGAAACTCTTCAGATTTCTCTATCACTGTCTCTTCATTAGTGAGACAGTACTGTCACATCTGAGTAACTCAGTCAATGAGAGAATTATTTTCTCTCAATCACAGAAGATCTAGAATAATGTTCTCATCTATAATATTAACTGTATGAAGAAGCAGACTGCTCTTCTTAAAGATTTCTTCTAAGTCTGTGATCACACACTTCACTTGAATTATATCAAAATAGTGATATTTTATTTCATCAGTAAATTTCATATAGTCTGATGAATCTATCTTCTTTCAATTCTTTATCAAAGAAAAGAAATAGAATATAAAATTGATATTTATTTCAGAGTTGAGTAGATATCTTACTAATATCTTCTTATTCAGAGTATGCATTGTGATTGTAATATAAACTCAGAGATATAAGAATTGTTAATTCTTTTCTTTCTCTTCTTTATCTTTCATGAATATGTTTGTCAGAAGAGAAGTTAACTTTGAGAAGATATCTTCTCAGTTTCTTCTCTTCTTTGACTTCTTATAATCACTGACATAGTGATTATCAGCTTCACAGTTGAAACAGAGATCTTTATTAAATCTTTTTTAATATTTCTTTACAGTGAGTGAAGAATCAGAATACTTAAAATTCTTCTTTACTTTCTCTGCACTGAAGTCATCACAGCACTGTTTAAATTCTATTATTAATTATTTAGAAGAAGTCTTATTAATCTTTTTCTCAGAGAATTGATTATTCAAATAGATCTGAGAAGCCAGATTGACAAACTCAGTATAATTAGTTAATGAACTCTGATATTATAATATTATTATTCATACCTTGTGAATCAGCTTCATGAGATAAAGCTGTGTTTTTAATTGATTCAAATCATCAGTCAGTTTCTCTCAATATTCTTTAAATCTTATATTGAAATCAGAAGAATTCTTATTATCTTATTAATATAATGAGTTGAATCACTGCACTATCATGAAGCTGCAGTTACAGTGATCTTCAATTTGATTCAGTAGAAAGTTCTTGAATTCTTTCTAAGTCATGACAGCATTGATACACTCAAGCTTCCTCTTCTTGATGGCTCAAGTAGTCACAGAGATGTCTTCAAGAAGATTGACAGTGTATATTACTTATATCTTATGAGTATTATACTGGCTCAGATTAAGGCAGAATTTCTGTTCAAGGGTGCAGATAAAGC